TGTGTATATTTGGGTCTGTCTACGGGGAGTCAGGGGTCATTATTAATCTTGCTAGCTCTCCTACCTTCAGGCACAACAGCAGGGCAGCATGTGTGTGTGTGTGTGTGTGTGTGTGTGTGTGTGTGTGTGTGTGTGTGTGTGTGTGTGTGTGTGTGTGTGTGTGTGTGTATAAGTATAAGTGAGCGGGAAAGGAGCGGTTGCGAATGAGTCAGTTACGCTTTTCGAGTAAAGGTGTAGGAGAACATGTTTTTGTGAGTGCACCGTCTGTATGCCGTTTAACTTTGTGAGCATCTGTGTGTGTGTGTGTGTGTGTGTGCGTGCGTGCGTGCGTGTGTGCGTGTGTGCGTGTGTGTGTGCGTGTGTGTGCGTGTGTGTGCGTGTGTGTGTGTGTGTGTGTGTGTGTGTGTGTGTGTGTGTGTTTCCCAGGGTTTTTTGGTGTGTTTTGAAGGAGAGGGAAAGTGCATTTGCCATGATGGATCATGAGAGACCCACATTCTTAATGCACACTCGCACAAGACAGACACCCATGAGAAATGAAGGGGGGAGGAAGAGAGGGGGGGGGAAGAAAAGAGAGAGGTGGTGATGAGGAAACAGAGAGAGCAGGGAGAGTCCCTGTTCCTCCTGAACTCATTAACCGTTGTCCTCTCCGACCTCCCTCCTGCACTCCCACAAAGCCAAGTAGCGGCGTGCATCAATAACGCCGGTGACAGCACGAGGGGGAACGGGTCAGACAAGCAAACCGCCATCTCCCTGGCAACCAGCACTACGGCCAGTATCGCCAGGACAACAATTGCAGAGCGCACACTTGGGGGTATCCCACTTCCCCGCTGGCCCGACTCCCCTCCTGCAGCCGTCACACAGCGAGGGCCGCCGGTCCTGCTGCTGCTGGATCAGAGGAAAGCTAAATCCGCAGCAAGGCGCCGGCAGAGGATGAGGCGAAGGGAAAGCCGACTGATCTCGACTCTGAGGTGAAACCGAACGGACAGGAGATTCAATCTGAGCCCAGTTCAGCAGCATTATTCAACAATTCAAGAGGAGGAGGAGGACAGGAGTAAGGGATGTTCTGGAGGCAGAAATCCCCCCAAAAAGAGCCCCTGAAGCTGGTCTCTGAGGCCCATGGAGGATAGATGTGCCTGGGAAGAAGACACAGATTCAACACAGTGGTTCAGCAAAAAGAGAGAACGACCCAGGTTCAGGATGCAGTAAGAAGATTTAACAAGCCTGTGCAAAAACAAATAGGCCCTCTATTCGGTGTGATAACTCAATGTTTCTTGATCAAATCTTGGAGAAGTCATTCCCATCTCTGCAGCTGTTACATGGCTTTTTGGCTGCTCTCGTGTTTTTTCTGAACTTCCATGTCTGCAGTAAAGTAAAAAAACAAGTCTGATAAACATCCACAGTATCACAGAGCAGACAGGGCTAGCAAGGAGCTGTAACATTATATATTTTTGGCAAAACAGTGAAATATTATTCCGGCAATTTATGGAGAAAAGGGCAAAGACGTACAGAGGGCTAACAGCAGAGTATAGCTATTTTTTTGGTTTAATTTTAACGCTGAATGAAGATGAAGAATCCACAAATGGAGTCCAGTTTTACTTGACTTCTTTGAAACATATCGGAAGTGTGCATGCATTTTCAACGCTGACAGTGTTTTCTAAAGACACCTTATCAATTCAACAAAGCTATAAGAACATTTTCCCCTTAATCAAGAGAACATGCTGCACATTTCTGGCACTGAGGATCACTATATTTCCTAATTCAACAAGTGTAAAGTGTCTTTATGAGTGTCATATATCGCCTGGATGCCTTAATATTTATACACTGGAGTATGAACTGATTGTACCTAACTGGACATATTAACTTCCATACACCCGGTTGAGTTTAAACCTAAAGTAAATGTATGATATTATGCCAATTGATAAATCCATTATATATTTTTTACAGAATCAGGCAAGGAAACGTTGCAACTGAAGTAAATGTTGTTTTCCTACCGCTTACATGCAGCTGGTTTTCATTGTTCATTCTGTCACACCTCCTTCTTCTTCTTCTTCTTCTTCTTCTTCTTCTTCTTCTTCTTCTTCTTCTTCTTCTTCTTCTTCTTCTTCTTCTTCTCGGGTAGATTTCAACACTACAACATTGTTTGATACAGTGGTTCATCTCAGCTGCAAAACAATTTTAAAAAAGCAAGCACTTTATATTAACAGCAATTAAACATTTACAGTGTTTTAGTATAACAAATGCACAGATAGATAGATAGATAAGATAGATAGATAGATAGATAGATAGATAGATATAGATAGATAGATAGATAGATAGATAGGGGCCATAGGCTATACTCTCACACACCAAATTTGATTAAGCTCCCTTGCCTGTTAATCTTTAGTAATATAATTAATTCATTAAAGGTTAATGGTCCTGTCATAGCAAAACTGCACATATGAACATGGACATGAAGTATGTGTGCGTGTGTGTCTGTGTGCGTGCGTGTGTGTGTGTGTTGCATTAGAGAGAATGAAGAAACAGAGACAAGCAGAGCAAATGTCTTGCAGAAATTGGCGCTAAAAGGAAATACCGGGGAACTCCTCACCGCTGAGTTGAACATTATATCTAGTAATGTTGTGTTTATTCGTATTATTCGCTAAGAATAAAATCGCTACGATATGTCAGTTGTGAGTTTGAGCGCCTCCTGATAGATGTGAAGCGACGACGGCGGCAACTCAGACGGAAAAACAAGGCGAAGAAGGGCGGTGGAGATTATTGCGGCAGCTCAGCCAATCACACAGCGAGACTCTCTAGGGGCGGGACTTCACCGTAGAATGTCAGCCAATAAAAACTCAGATGTTGGTTCCAGCCCCCACGTGGGTTCTGAGTTCCAAACAACAACCACCGGGCTCTGGGCCAATCACAGGCGCTCAAGGTGTTAATCTTGACGCGGATTGGCTCGCTCCTTTTCACAGAGTCCCCCTCACTCATCACGTTTAGCCCGTTGTTATTAACTCTTTCGTACCACACAGGAAGGAGCTGCTTTGCCCATAAAACACAAACCCGCACTGTAATAGCCAAACGTGAATTAATGAATGATTCACAGGCGGTTTGTTTTTAGAAACGCGATACATCAGTTAATCCGGACTGTTTCAAAGCCTCATTTCAGACACATTTAAAGAAAATGCGAGGGTAATACAGTGAACTGTAGCGGTGCAAGGAGCACATGGGGAGCAGCGCTACAGCCTCTTCAAGCGTTGCCCTGATCATAATCAAATCAGCATGCAAGAAAACCAATGGGATTAAAAGCACATGAGAAATGCATGCTTAGCAGTGAGGTATAACCCACATTCACACATTCAGGCTCTAAAAGTGTGGCTCAAACCTGCTCCTGTTGTGCAGCCTGCATTGCATGTTCGTGAAGCACTCTGAAATGATTGAAACATGCAGAAATAAACCCCCCTTCTCCTCTTCTTCCTCTCTTGTTTGAATTGCCCTGATGTTTTACAGTTGATAACGCTACACGTGTTGATGACGCCTTTCAGTTTCTACAAAGTCCCACCGAAAAAAACCAGGAGACATTAAAAGCAGCCATTTTAAATAGCACTAAAGTCATTCCCTCCTACGCTATGCAGTCACACAGGCACCAACACTGACACACCAAGCATCAATCTTCTCTCCCTTTTTTTAACCTCCAAAAAATATATAGGCAAGGTTCTCATAAAGGAGCCGAAGAAGAAGGCTGACACCGCCTCTCAGTGGAGACTTCGGGGATTACAAGTGTGAGCATGCCAGGACAAGGAGCTGTTTCATGTATAAAAAGTAGAAATCAGCTGTTAAAACCTGTGTTTTGGATTGTTGTTCTTAAATTGATTATAAAGTTTCTAAATTACATTATTACAATGTTTATGAAATGGCACAAAATGTCAAAGTGCATTTCATTTCTCAATTCTCACGCTGATGCCACCTGTCTGAATTGTAGGAATATTTTGCTGCTTTTCTTGGACATTATACGTTAAAATAATTTATCCAGGATGTTTTTAGTTCAATATTCTCCTTCAGATGTCCTCCAATATAACTAGAAGAGATGTAGGAAGAAATGTTAACAAATGGAAGTGTGCTGATGAGGGAAGGAGGAGAAATTGGTTGGAAAAAGTGGATACAGAACATGTTTGATATTTTTTTAAAACACTTTTTTACACCTTTAATGTGGGAAACAGGAATGTGTGTGTATTGCATTGAATCATGTCCTTCTTCTTTTGCTTGGTGATTTTTTAAAAGCTTTTAGAGTAGCAGCATCCTCAGACTTATTTTCACTTGAGCTCAACCCCTTGCATGTAGAAAAATGTAACAATAAGAAAGTGAAAACATGTCTTTTTAAATTATTTGTTTCTTACAAAAATGGCATAATGTGAGTATTGTTGTGGTCGGATACGACTGGGTTAACAAGTTAGATCCATGGTCTTCTGTGTTTTCAATAAACATATTTATGTGCAACTTTTTGTACCTTTTTCCACCATATATTTCCACCTGAAATATAACCAAACAGTTTAAAAATACTCATATTTCCTGTTAGTCTAATTCTCCAATTATTTCAGACATGGGTTTTGCACAAATGGTGACCTTAAAGCATAACCTGTTTCCATAGATATTCAAGACCGACTAACAGGTTGCCATGTAATGCATACTCCCAGTGTTAAGTACAAAATTGTGCTTTAAACGAGTGGACTGTTTGTGAAACAGATGCATAATGTGTCTGGGACGAGAGGAAGTAAAGTCAAACAAGGCAGCAGCAGAAAACAGCTTGTTTCGGCTTGCTGTTTGCAACAACAAAGACAACCATCCGACTCAAAGATGAATCTATAGGTGACCTCTGAAACTGAACTGAAGACAAGAGAGAGGAAAAAGGGTGGGAGAATGACTTAAAGTGGAAAAAGGAGGGTAGAGGAAAGTGAGGAAGACCGTGGAAAGGGCTGCGTATATTCATGTGTGTTGGGAGGGGGGCACTGTGGGGTACGATGCAGCCCCCCGCAGTCCCAAGTAATGGCAGAATAGAAGTTAATAGGGTAGAAAAAGGCCGGAGGCTGTTAACTCAGAACGGTCATTTTGAATTCCCCGTTCTCTCCCTCAGTCACTCCCTTTTCCCTCTCATCCCTTCTTCCCTTCACCTTCCATAACGTGGATTCCCATCCCTGCCTGCCTGTGTCATTTGCCCATTCTCCCCTCCTGTCTCCCTTACACCCTTAACCCGTCTCCCACCGGTCACCTGTTTCCCCTTTTTTTCTCTCTTTCCTCCCCCTCCTCGCTCTTCATCTTCTCCACCTCTCTTCCTCACCCTTCCTCCCCCTTCGGTGTCTCCTTGGAGGAGGTGTAATGATAGCTATTTGAGTGTCATCAGACGACCGCTGTAATGGCTTCTAAAGCACCATTCCACGGTTGCCACGGTGAACCTTGCACAGACGCCATCCCAGAATAAGAGGTTGAAGGGGGTGGGGGTAAAAAAAACATCTGGTTGGGTATCGACAGGCGTCAACAGCAGACAGTGACGCGGCCCCCGGGGGCCACAGGGAGCTAATGATGCGTGGGATAGGACTCATACAGTAGTGATAATAGTGATAGTAATATAACAATAACAGTATGCTTTATGTGTGTCTGTCGGCTCCTGATGGATCTTTTCTCCCTTTCTGCAGTGTGTTTTATATGTGCGTGTGGTTTAATGTAAGAAAAAGAGAACTTAATTTGGTGTAAATACTTATCTTTATTCTTTTTAATGCTAGTTTCTAAAAAAACATATAAATGCGTCAAAATCTCCTTTAAATACCGTCGGGATCAGACATGGATCCAGACTTTTTGCTCTTTTTGTCGCTTTTTAATAATTAAATAGCTCTAGTTTTCTGTGATACAGTATTCCTTTATAAGTGTCTTTAGGCATGCATGTGAAGATCTGATTTCCAGTTTATGTGTGTGTTATTTTAAATGTTGTTCCACACACATTTTGCACACAGGCAGCTCCGCTTACAAAAAGGATATCAGATGTCTTGTCCAAGTCAAAAAGCAGTTTGTAGTGGAGAGATTTAACCGAGTCATTAAGAGTGTTTACGAACGGTACGTACTGCAGAGTTTTCAAACGTCTTAATTGACCACATAAAGTGTCTTGTTGTACAATCATATTGTACATTGCCAATGCCATTAAACGTCCCTTTAATGTCAGTTTAAATAATGTGTGTCAAGTCAATTCAATTAAACATGTTGTCAAATGTTTAAGATGGAAGGATTCATATCAGACTACACCGGACGATTAGGCAAGCAAGTCAATTGTATTTAAATTATTCAGATTTATTTAGGCATTAAAGTACTTTTTGTCAGTCATTAAACAGTAAAAAGTAACCGTGGCTTTGGATTCATGTCTGATTTTGGTGTTGCTTCTAGGATATTTTGATGCATTTATAGGGTTTTTATAAATATTGTGTGAGGGTAAAAGTGATTCATGATACTAAGATAATTGGATATATGATTTTGAATTCTGCTTTCTTACTCATAGCCAATGATCTGTTCCTGTCTTCTTATCGTATTTAATATGTTGACTTTAGTCACATACTGTGGGAGTAAACTAGCAACAAAATAAGCAAAGTTTAAGAACAAATGGGAAAAAAAAGGTTCGCTGTCTGTTTAGTGTTCACAAACTCAATAACAGCGAGTGTCCTTCAGCGTGTGTGTGTGTGTGTGTGTGTGTGTGTGTTGTGTATATGTTTGTGTGTGTGTGTGTGTGTGTGTGTGTGTGTGTGTGTGTGTGTGTGTGTGTGTGTGTGTGTGTGTGTGTGTGTGTGTGTGTGTGTGTGTGATTTACCGTAGCGGGCCCTTTTAGGCTTCAAAGGGGGAGGTGCTCCTCCATCCCACCTGCATGGTCCTCCCCCGCAGAAACGGACATTTATTTCCGTGAAGACGCTGGGATAATAACAGTGGAGTTTCCGGAGGAAATGGCTCTGGGTTATTTTTTTGCTTTTGTCTAACTGCTCCCCAGCAGGCAGGCGTTCTGGAGGCTGGATGCCCCGTGTTTTGACTTCTTTGTGTGTGTCCCAGTGGTGCAGTTTGCCCTGCTGTTAAAGATACCGTGCTTCTGTGTGTGTGTGGGTGGGTGAGTGTGTGAGTATCCACCGGCAGTGTTGGACAAGTTACTAGAAAAGTTGTATCAAATATTTATAATGTCTTATTATAATAATATGTCTTGCTGAAAAAATCACTCAAACGCAAAAAAACAAGCATTACTAATTACTACTACTTGATCAAAAATTCCTTTAAAAAAACTTGAAATCCTTTAAATCACATTATATGTCATGACTTGTAGAATAGATAACTATATATTTATACATTAACCATTAACAGATAGCTTAACATCAACATCAGTTTGTGTCTGTTAAATATTTACAAAATGGGAGGGTAAAATAACTTGCTCCACTTGTGCAAACCGAACGTACTACTTTTTTACCATTGATTTACGATTGTTTTAGTATAAACTGATATGGTTTATATATTTTTCCCAAGCAAAAGATGGTATAGGTTTGTATACACATGTCTAAAGGACTCTTTGAGGACGGAGTTCTGTTTTGGCAAACAGCCTTCGGGGTTCTCAAAGCTCACCGGTTTTGTATCTCTAAATATCTGCTTAGTATCTCTGTGACTCAAATCTTATAATATAACACAAAATAAACACCTTGATTGGACTTCCATAACATAGTGACATCACTATGTAACGCTTCTATTGGCTAGCGTTCAAACATATTGTACTTGATAGGCTAAGGGGTGGGACATCTCTAAACAGTTGACCAATCACAACAGAGTCGACCAGCTAACCAATCAGAGCAGACTGGGCTCTGGTTTCAGACAGAGGGTGAAAAGAGGTGCTGCAGCACAGGCAGTATGAGAAAAATAAAGAGGTTTTTAAACATTAAAGCAAGGAGACATGTCAGAGTAGAGACACTACATACAAATATGAACCTGAAAATGAGCTTAAATGGGCCCCTTTAATAATAAAGCTGTCTCCTGAACCTGGATACTGAATTGACAATCAAAGCTCAAAGGAAGTGATGTCACTGTGCTGTGTTCTTCTTGTGTTATTATCTGACGTGTTAGCAAAGAAAATGCTAAAATGATTGGTTTCTCAGTGGTTTAAGCGTTAGGCAATCAAAAGGTGTTGATAGCAAATTACTGTAAGAACATTTACTATGTGATAGCTTGTTGCTGGAATATTTCCTGCAAAGCCACATTTAGTGAATTAACTTTATTTACAGTTATATTTTCTGTGCATGAATGAACCCCAATCAGTGGAAATGTATTTACCCTCATGTTGGCTATACTTGAAAAGTCAGATCAGGGGTTCAGTTTAGTTTAAAGGCATCACTTAAAAATAACCTTACATCCCAGGATCAAATGTGATTAGCAACTCTTTCATGCTGGGCCAAACTCAACATAACAATGCAGCCTGATTAGCAAGCCGCTATGTCGCTGTTTTCCCAAAATGACTTTGTTGGTTTTCGGCTTGCCACTGAGATCTCACAAAGAAAGAAAAAGAGGAGATTTTTTAGAGGAATTTGTTAATTTCATGCACACAATAACCCCTATTCAGAACAAAAAGAAAGACTTTTGTGAACACACATACTAAGGCTGCCTTAAAGAGACAGTACCCCAAAATCAAAACCTATTGGGCAATTTTAAATTCACATTGTTTTGTTGTTAGTTGCCGAGTGTAGGAGATAAAGGCCATGTTTGCCTTCTCTTCAAAGTAACAAAACTATATTGCACTCAACTTGACAGCAATGTATTAAAACCATGACTCGTTTACTCAGGATAATCCATAGATGTAGTTGTGAGCAGTTTCATATCTATTTTTCTTTCGACCGAACTACACCGTGAACTGTATCACCACGCAGGGAAAGCATGCATCTATGAGTGAACAACCTTTTCTGTGGATTATCACATGTCACTTGTTGGACTTACTCAATAGTGTGGGCAATCCCCACAGGAGCAATTTGGGGTGAAGTGTCTTGCCCAGGGACACAACGACATGCTGACTGCAGTGGGGTTTGAACCTGTGCTCCCCTGATCCGAACACCAACGCACTAGTCCACTGCGCCACACGCCTCCCCTATCACAACAGTAAATCCACATATAGGAATACAACATGGCAAAACAATTGAGCAAACAATTGTGAGCAGCTATGATGGATTGCTCCAGACTTCTCAAGCTTTAATGATATTTAATTTTGACAGCACATTCTTCCTCTGCCCCTCTCAGGAGTAAGCCTTGCAGCCAATCAGGAGGACGAGACGGACATGGAGACGTTTCAGATGGAGATCGACAAAGAAACCAGGAAGTGCACGTTCTGCACCAGCCATGGGAACTACTGGGACCTGGTGGCCCACGGAGGCATCCAGAGCTCAGCCACTGAAGTGTGAGTGACTGCTTTGGTGTGTTGGTTCCATAGGTTGGTTCAGAACATAAACAAACCCATAACCCTAATTCAAAGTAAAAAATACAAATTTAAAATCAAGAAAACTAAAATATAGAGTAGAGGAAAAATACAATAAACATGAACAAATTATATAAAAATTAGTAAAAATAACATGAATATAGAATAATTTTAAAAAAGCAAATATTTTCTTTAAATAGAGTAAATAATCTGAATTAAATATGGAAGACCTGCGCCGTTTTAGGTGAGTTGTTTTGTGTGGAAATGTTGAAAACCGACCACTGATGTAGTTTTTTTCTTTAATCTTACTAGTTGCTTTACACTTTTTTTTACAAACCAAAAATATTTTCTGTTAAAGCATTACAAAAATGTCCTGTGATGTGCAGGTCAGCTACCAGCATGTTTTCAGTGGAGTGGCTCGGCCACAAGGTGGCACTAAAAGCTAACAATGGGAAATACATCTGCACCAAGAAGAACGGCCAGCTGCTGGCTGTCAGTGACTCCATAGGTGAGAGACGTTTTTAATAAACATTACAACTCTTCACCAATCCTCTCTCTGGCTGCTCTGATGTGAAAATGATGTTGTAATAAGAACATTTGTAAGTTGTCTTGTGAAAATTAAGACATTTTGAGAATAACTTTGTATTCTGTGCCATAAAAATTGATGTGATCTGTTGCTACGAGTTGGATTTTTAACTGCTGCACCGGAAAAATAAGTAACTTTTTATGGCACTTTCTTAACTAAGGGGGATGTTTTGGAATCAGTAATCTCCAGACTTTGTGGAATACGTACAGAATTAAACAACGGAAAAGTAAGTTTGCAATATTTAGTTTACCCATTACTTTCCCCTCATCTTCTGACAGGCGAGGACGAGCAACTGACGTTGAAACTGATCAACAGGCCGATGCTGATCCTGAGAGGAGAGAACGGCTTCATCTGTCACCACAAGAACTCCAACCTGCTGGACGGTAGCCGGTCCGTCTACGACATCTTCAGCCTGCAGTTCAGCAACGGGGCGTACCACATCAGAGGTCAGGGGGCACACACTCAACATGAGGATTAAAGGAATACTTCACCTGCAAAATTACCATTGCAATAACCCACCCTGTGTTAACTGGAACTTTTGATCGTTAGACTGTATATTAAGAGCTTTAATCTGTTTTTTAAGCATTTTTACATATGTAATGTTATGGTAATGCAATGTGCATATTTTTTACACATTTCATGTTATTCTAAAACGGAGCAACTGATATAAAATCCAACTTTCCCCCTTAGGTAAATAAGGTGTTTCTCAAAGATTCAAAGGCTTTATTTTGAAATGCATAATAGCTACTATAGCCTAGTTTTGGCAATGAAAGTCTTACATCCAAGGCTCCTACAAAAAATAGAAGTAGTAAAGGAAGAAGTACAGTAGACGTGAAGGGAAAAATAGAAATAAAATAGTGTAAGACAATGGTGCAAGTCACCCAATGTGCAAGTAAATGGAGAAACAAGTTAACTATGCACATGTCAAATTGAATAAGATAAAGACAGACTGATTCTGTTGCTCCACTCTCATTCACTGGTTCTTGTGTTCAAACCTGCAGGAGTGGACGGTCGGTTCTGGTACGTGAACAGCTCCGGGCTGGTGTGTTCAGACGGCGAAGTTCCTGAGGATTTCACTGTGGAGCTGCTGGAGCACGGCCGCCTCGCCATCCGGGGGAAGAACAGAAAATACCTGCGAGGAGACCAGGGAGGAACGCTGAAGGGAGACGGACTCAGCCTGAGCAGCTCGGCCCTGTGGGAGTATTAAAACATTAAAACATTACATCATCAGTATGACGTCAAGAGTCTAAAGGTCTGTGACACTTTAAGGTGGAAGACATTTACGTACCAGAGACGAGGTACAACTTGTACTGAATTAATCGCACATTTTCCAGCTTCCTGTTACAAAGAAGTCAAAGCCTCACATCACAGGAGAGTGTGAGAACAAGAACCAAGAGAAGTCCTGATGACGTGAACAATGCTTCGGATCAAACAGCAGCATGAGTGTGAATGAACTTTAGAGTTTTTGTGTTGTTCCTTAAGATTTTTTCCAAAGAGCATGCGATGCAAGATCTATTTTTTGTCCAATCTAACATCTCCATCTTTAGAAATAAAATCCTCCTTTCAATAAAGACAAGTAGACTTCTCAATGTCCTTCAACCCCTGAAGATGTCAAACCAAAACCTTCTTTTCTCCTTGTCTTTATGTTCCCAAACTGTCTCCCTCTCCTTACAGGTGTGATATTATTGACAGCACAGTGGTAAAACTATGGTGGCCGAAAGCACTGCAAGAACATTAAAACACAACGGAAACCAGGACAATAAAAAGTGATGCACAGTTTTTTTTACATTTGCATCGCTTTTGAAACTGCAGCGAGGTTTTTCATTTTTTTTTCAAGTCTTTTTATTTCATTATAGAGTACATTAATTGATGCAATTTCATTTATATTGTAATAACACAGTACACTCACTACACTCCCCCCTCCCTCCACCCGAACATGCCCACATCAGCGAAACCAAAAAAATAAAAAAATAAAAAAAATGCTTATCAATATAACTTAAACAACAGAGCCATGAAAAAAAAGATCAAACGGAAAAAGCAGCGAGGTTTTTCTAAAGTAACTTTTTCAGCATGTTTGCCCCTGTCGGCCACCGTAAAAAACAGATATGCAAGACACCATCAAGCCTAGGAACTTAAATACATGTGTAATTTGAGACAAACATTCTAGTAGTAGTAGTATTCGTTTATTTGTCCCCAAGGGGAAAATGGGTTGCAGCACATCACAAATACTGTATACTAATCAATACAGTCAATAGCATTGTTGTCTGAGGCTGCGACGAAAAGGCGTGGATTTTGCATTTGTCCCCGTCTCATTTATCTACATTTACTGAAAGTACACCTGTATGGCGGTGGGTTAGGATTTGTTTTAGTAATGTCACATTTCTTATCAGGACGTAGAACTTGAAGTCCTTTATTGGGCAATTCCCAGCCCTACTAGTTGCTTTACATAAAGAGCTTTTAACAAAAATAAAATGTCCTTTAAAACAGTAATGTTGCATGTCTTTGGCACATGTCAGAGTAAAGGTCAGATTCATTACCGAAGGTCTTTCTATAAGTGATGTGAGGATCCTCGCCCACCTCAAGCTTTCACCCTCTGGTTTAATTGCACAGACACGCAGCAGTCCTGAGTTTTAATGGAGGTTTTCCACCACAAGAACACTTCAGGTTCAATCCCTAGAATAGTTATGATGTCTATACAAAATGTGAAGGAGCTGTGGATGCCACTTCTCTTTCTCAGGTGTCTCAGTTTTGCTTTTATTCCATCAAAGCGCATTGGTGCCATGTTAAAGGAACATGTTGAATTTCTCTCCTTGAAGAAAGCCACTGCAGGTGAGTGGGGGTTAAAACGTTAACTAATATCAATCTCAATTCAACTTCCCCAGTTCCTTTAAAACTCACACATTAAAACTGTATTTTTTTGTATTACAAGTTTCCTGAGATGTTATATTTAATATGCAAAAAAGGCAATATCCAAAAATATTTTTACGAACAGAAATCTGCACATTTGATAAAGCTAGCTTTGAAATGTTTGTTTCCTTTTGTTTTGTTTTATCCATTCATCAGTAAATATCGGTAACGCGATGAATGATATATAAAAAACACGAGGTTTATCTTTTATTTTTTTAAACTAGGGAATCTATAGTAAAACACCGGTTGGAAATAATGAGTCGTAAATCTTTCTTTGTGTAGAATATTAAACGGAAACAGAATTGATATTGATGCCAAAGCGCGTTTACAATAGCAATGACATTTCTGATAATTGTTCTTCATGCATCTGCTGCAAAGACGGGTTACAGAGCACTGGACAGAGCCGAGGGCAGGAAGTGTTAGATTATGACGAGAGGGTTTTCTCTGAGTTCTCGGTAAACGTCGAGAAGCGTTCGGCTCATCTGCTCCGTGGACGCCCCCCCACTGAAGACCCCTGACACTCGACTTTGCTGGATCTGCTGCAGCAGGTGCTGAGAGGAGAGGAGGGGGACAAAGGAAGGTTTCAAAACAACAAGATACTTCGGATTTAAACCCAACTGTAGAAAATGTAGCTGTAAGGGAGAACGTGAGGTACCTCGGCCCGCCGCAGCGCCTCTCTTAACCCCAAACTCTGGACCCTCTTTGTGGACGCGGCTCTCTCTGGAGCTCTCTGCAGCAGAGTCTGTGTGAAGGAACAACAAAGTTATTCTTAATATTGTTATAATATACGTTGTGACTGTGTAAGGGAATGATTCATGTCCCTCCATCATAATATCCAAATTTGCAACGCCAAAACTAACATGTTTGCTCACTCTCAGATTCAAAAATACATAAAATAGTGCCAATGACAAAATGGTGCAAGTTAAAATATAGTACTAAGTAAAATATGTAGATGTAAAAATGATTTAGATGGATGTGTAGCCAAGGGAAGAGAACATTTCTGCACACTGTTGTTTACTTGCAATAAAAAGGTTGTGCTGACTCAGAGTTTTTAGCCCCAAGACCTTCATCTGGTGAAGCGTCTCAAGACTCCTACGCACCCGTCTGCAATAAATAGTGGGTGTACATAAAATCTTAACATTTAAGTGCCTGCAAACGTCAGACAAAAGAAAACTCTGGAAACAAGTGTGTGTGTGTGTGTGTGTGTGTGTGTGTGTGTGTGTGTGTGTGTGTGTGTACGTGTGTACGTGTGTACGTGTGTACCTGTACTCGCCGCAGCAACGCGTGGTGCAGTCCACACACCGCTGCTATAGACGAGCTGTGAACCTGAACCTCCACTGTGTTCAGGGACTCCTCCACCCCTACATTCACCTGGTGAACAAAGCACTGTTAATCATAAATGCACACAAGATGTACCTTTGTGAATATATTATCAGATTATTCTTTACCTCTTTGGCAGTCAGTTTGACAGCATGTCTGTTTAGACTTTGTGCGTGCACCACTGATCCCCTCATTGCCATTTGGTCTCCTTTTTGTCCCGTCGTCACTCCTCCAGGACCTTCAGACAGCAGCCACTCCAGCAGAGAAAGGCACACATTCTCAGGAGCCGTCTTTGTCCCTGCAGGGTCTAAATGTGAGCTTTTTACCACCATAAGTGTGTCCCTTAGTAACTCTGCAGACACCCGTACACTTGCTGAATACTTTAAACCACCTTCTCGTCCTCCCTCTGCGTTTCCACCGCACCTTATTCGATGTGATCTTAGAAAAGCTTCAATGGCATCTGTCGCATGAGGTGTGATCTTTTCCCGGGCGGCTTTAGGGCTGCTCACCTGCAGGGCGTGCAGCCAATCCACTGTCAGGGTGTTCAGGGGCAAACTGATGCAGCTGCTCTGCAGAGCGGGAAGGTTTGCAGCTTCCTCTCCCAGGAGGCTGGCGAGGGAGAAGAGGAGGGAGCAGCTCACTGTCACGGGGAAGGATGATTCGCCTGCAGCTGCTAGAGGCAAAGACACGTCTAACGTCTCGCCTGGATGGAGGCTTTGGAACGGGAATGAAAAGTTTGTGGAGAGGTTTTCTCCTCCTGCACTGGGAGGAGGACACAGAGGAAACACAGTGATGCTTAATGTCCAGCCTCGCTCCAAAACATAAGCACTGGAGTTATCCAGGACACAGGTGAGGGTCAGGGAGTCTTCCTGAAGCAATCTGCTCCAACTAGTCGAAGCTCGACATCTGATTGGATTCTCCTGGAGGGGAGGATGCTCTGCACCGTTTGCACCTGCCATCAACAGGAAGCTGATGTTGAGCACTTGATTCAGGCGCTGGAGAATCTGGTTTTTGGATTTGATGGATGTTTTCAGCACAGATGCTCTAAAAGGAGAGGAAGGAAAATGACATTTACATGAACAGAAAGATAATATTAAAAAGGTACATGAAGTCATTTATTTGCCACTAGGGGTTTCTCAATCAAAACAATAACAATAGGCAGAGTTTGGATGTTTCGTGAAGTAGTGGGATCATGGTTGTCATCGCCACCATTTCCACAATTCACTAACTATCCGCAAAGCTCTCTTTGTCGTAAATAAAGTAGATTTAAGGTTATGTTTATGTTTTTCTGACTGAATATCCAGAAGTTTGATGGCTTAAATCCGACCCTTGCTTAAAATAGAAAATAGAGAACGACCGAAATTTAAAAAGTGCCAAAACTGGTTAAAAAGTGCAATTATGATGTTTCTGGCATACAATCAGAACATTGACATAAGGGGATATGTTGATATTACCGGAGAACAAATGAAACATGGAAATGTGGATTTCTATGGTTTTGGTATAATGTACGTACACAACTCAATCAAATACAAACAAACATCCAGTAGTTCTTAGACATTTGAATGCAGAAATGTTACATGCTATGACTAATATAAATGTTTATTGTGTTGGGTTCACCTTTCACAGACGTCCCCGATGGAGGACAGCAGGTCCCTGACGCTGCGGCCCACCTGAGAGTCTGACCCCGAGGACAATCTGCTGTCCTCTGTCCTCACAGGGAGACGCATCCTCTGCAGCTGCCCTCTGACAGACAGACCCAGCAGCTCCACTACACCTGGAGCTATAAGGCAAAAATACACAGGTTAGAGTCACAGGTTGAATGGAAAGAAGGGTCATATTTAATCAATATTAAATGTAACAGTGTAAAGATACATTTTCTGGTTTAAGAAATTATCACTGCTTTTCTTTTACTACTGTGTGAAGGGTTCCTACACCTTCTTAAACAATACATCCAAGGTCTTTTATGAATGGCTTTCAACAAAGTCATGGACCCTCGTGATTTGGCAAAGACATAGTTTGAGACACACATCAAGGTTATTTATTTTACAACACTGAGCATTTTTACAATGACAAATGGCAGCCTTGAATGCGTGAAGACTTCTCAACTGTGCTGTAACAGTGATGGCAGAATTCAAAGCACTTACATTTCAAAGATGAAAGTCTATTTCCAAACACCTTCAAAGCCTTAATTTTTCCGCTTTAATTCAAGAATGTTCTGTGTGGAAAGTCAACTCTCATGCAGAGACCGCAAATCAAAAAGTGTGAACCTTATGTCTCCATTCTTTTCTCATGAATTATTTCAAGTCACCTCTCTGTGAAAAGATACTGGGAGTTTTGTGAGTTGTGGAGCCTCAGTTCAAAATGTGACACCTAACGAAACCATAAAATATCTAATGCTTAAAACGCGATTTTCATTTCAACCGAGAGACATTGGTAATTGGTTGACACACTTTGAATGAAAACCTGTTTACCTGCAGTGTTGCATGTCGGCGGGGCCAAAGCGACGACTCGACACACATTTAAACTGGTGGGGCTTTGGAGGGCAGCGTCCATCTTTCTGCGTGTTTCCTCATCCTTTCCTTGGCCTTCCTCTCCAGATTTCCCCTCTGATAGATCAAGTAGCAGCAGGTCTGACCCCGTGCTGTAGTAAACAGTGTTTTTATCCACACAGCCACACACCACAGGCCCCGGTACACACCCCTCAGTCAAAACGTTCCTTCTCCCCTCTGTTGACCCTCCTTTGTCTGCTTTCATCAGCACCACCCTCCCCAGTGCACCCACTGCCACCAAACACCGTCCTGGACCCGATGATCCGACAAATACGACGGGCTGCTCCAGGCTGTGCAGGACTCGGAGCCTCGATCCTGGGAGACACAGAGGGACGAAACACACGCACCCGTCTGGAAGGCCACACAGGATAACGGGGGATTTGGCGAGGGCGATATCGACCCCAAAAAGAAGTTTGAAGAGGACTGGATCGAGGTGAAAATGGCCCTGACTTGGAGCTTCATCTGATGAGGAATTAGAGGAGGAGGACGATGGTGTTGCATCCCTTGAATGAACACAAATCAGCACCGGACTTCTTCTTATTTCTGTTTTTTCCTCAGTGTTTACATCTCCTGAGAACTGACTGAAAGAACTGAGCTTCTCGTAGTTTGAGGATTTGTACAGAGCCAACATCCAGGATGCGTCTCTTTGGGAAAGAGTCACAAGCACGGAGCCGACGGGGAGCAGCGATAACACTCCTTCCTCTGCAACGACCAGAGACTCAGAGGAGATTTTCAGCTCAGATGGACCAGAGGATGCATCAGCTGGGGAGCCTTTAACCCTGCGGGGGGGGGGGTCATGTATTTAAGAGGCCTTGAAAGGATTTAATTGAAAACAATATAGAACATATGGATTATCTGTGAACTAGAAGAGAGGTTTTTATAGTAGGAGGCAGGCCTTTCCCAGAGGGGGGCTGGATATTATTTTCTAGCCCAAATGTGTGAGATTTAATTAAAGACATGTTTAAAAGATACAGAGGTTTGTGGAGATGTACTGTTCTCTAACTTGAGTGAGAAGCTATTAAATGCCTTATGAGCGACATTTTTATTTATTTTGTGTAGTCTGAAGTTATAGATGGTCAAAACAATGCAACAAAAACAAAATATTTATATGCAAGACTTTTAAAGGTTTGGCTTAATTGAAGAGTATTCTTGGTAGTGTGTATCCTGATGGTTTACTACCCTTTTTGTACGTTGTTTTGTATAAAAGCATCAGCTAAATGAAATCTAATATTGAAAAAAATCTTAGGCTATCTTGGGTCGACTATTGGGCCTCTATGGGATCAATGAAATAAACATGAGGCCATTTGATTTGGGGGTTATCCTAACTTTGTCTGAGGGAAGCCCACTTAAAAGCCTTGATTTAAAGGAACATACTATTGTGCTGCAGTAACATTGGAGAACCGTTATTGTATGTGGGTCCATACCTGGATAGCAGAAGTTCTGAACTGACACAATAGACTCCGCTCCTACAGGCTACATAGAGGCGCTGCTTATCATGACTCACAACCAGGTCACTCACAGGACCAGGACACTGGAGGACAGCCTGAAAAAACACATCATAAGAGAATCAAACTCAGAAAATGTGGACGTAAAGTTATCTTTAGATATCTAGATTTGCAAGTACGCCTGTCAGTGTAAAGCATATGGTGGTGGACAGTTATTTAGTACTTTGCAGGATCAGATTCTGATTAATAGTCTAATTCATAACGAAAAAATAATGTATTATGTGTACTTTTAAAGGTTTAAAATAGCTTTGATCCCTCAAGGAAATTCACAAGCTAATATGAAGGTACAAAAAAGCGAATTCTTTACCAGCTGCACACATTAATGAACACATTAATCCATCAATAAATAAATATACAATATTATAAAAATGTTTTAATGGGACAGTGTGCAGAATGAGTACTTTTACTTATTGTACTTCAGGCACATTTTGACGCTTATTCTTTGACTGAAGACATTTTGAATGCAGGGACATTGCTACTTTTATTTAAGTTTAAGTACTTTGTCCACCACTGAAAGTACATGAGTTATTTACCTTGAGTTTCCCCTCCTGAGTACTGAAAACATAAGCCTCGTCGCTTCCAGTGCAGAGGAGCACATCTGTCCCAAAACCACACCTGATCCTGGGTGTGCACGAGGTTCCTGCAAAGCCAAACTCTGCACAAGTCTCCACAGCACACCGTCCGTCCATGGTCACACCACCGAAGAAGAAACTGTAGTCCGCATTTGTAACGCTAGGTACTGTTGACACTGTTGATTTAGTGAGTGATAATAAAGGGTAAAATTGTGGTAAAATGGACAAGGTAGTCCAGTCCTGAACCGGTTGTTGATAGAGGAAGGGAAGCCCCTCACAGAATTCCGCGCGTCGTGTTTTGGACCAATGAGAGCAAAGAACTACATTACCCATGAAAAATGTGACGTTTATTTTTGTTTTTAATGTTTGTTTTTTTAGCAGACTCTCGGGTTTATTCAGAAAAGGCGCTGAATATAAAAACAACTCCGACCTGTAAAATGCTAACAAAAATACATTAAAAATAATGACGTTTTTTAAGCCAATTCTATAAGTCATTTGAATAAATGAAGACCACAAAAAACAACAATGTGGTGTTGTCGTATCCACAGAATACAAGGCTGCCAAGCAAAACAAGTGTGTGAAACATGCACACATACATTAATAAATATATACATGTAAGTGAAATGTGTGTTCTGTTTTATACTCAACTTTTATTTTTTTATTTATATTTCTTTCCATATTTATTGATTTATTCATGTACTTTTGTATTCCTGTATTTCTTCCTGTAGGCCTATTTGTGCATTTATTCATTGTTTTTCTCATGTCATGTTCTGTCCTCCATACCTATTTGCTCGTTGTGTGCATAAAGGTACAAATTCACTCAATCACATCACAATAACACTTATAGTTCATTGGTGGTCCAGAGGTCTATTCATTGTTTTTTCATGAAGGTGCTCAACACTTAGGGGAGGGACATCGTTTGTCTTCTGCTTTGCTGAATTTAATCTGGAGAAATTGCCCCCACCACTTTTTCTAACAAAGTATACAAAGACCCTGAACATAAAAGTCATCCAATTGTTTCTCATAATACAAAAAGTGAAGATGATGTAGGATTCAAATTTATTTATGAATGTATGGAAGGTGGGAGAAATGTCTTCCAAAATATATTTATTTAAAAGTAATGTTTAGAGTTATTTTTTGTTAAAGTTCAGCTCCAGTAAAAGTTTACGGTAAATGCTTCACACTGACCACTGGGTGGCGGACCTGTGTATTTATTTTCAAGTTGATCCACGAAGAAGAAATCCACCAATCAAAATAGTCGAAGCGAACTTCGCCAAAATTTGAAATCACCCTCCGCTCTGTAGCTGTTTGAAACATCCTGGTTGAAACCAAAGTAGTTGACGTCTATTTTAACTATACAATGGACCCGTTTAGCGAAGACTCCATCAAAATGTACTTTTATGAGAACAGACTGAAAACTTTCGAGGGGTGGCCGTTTGAAGAAAACTGTTCTTGTACGCCGGAGAACGTGAGTAAAAACGGTTGATCCTGCTAACAATGCTAACAGCTAACACAACAACAACAACTAGCTGTAGCTAAAGTTAAAAACATGTTAATAATGGAATTAAATAACCTGGGTTTAATCGACCTTCAGGTTCAGCGACAATAAACATTTGGAACCAACAACAAATATTTGTAATACTTCAGCGAACCATTCATTTAATGGTGGATTAATAGCTCATATTTTCAATCATTGGGTCTATTAAATGCAAGTAAAAAACAGCAGAGTTAAAGTAAGGTTAAATGGTTACTTTCAAAGTACCATTAATTTTGCAATCAACTCGTCATTTCAGCATTAAATAAAGCTTTTCCTTTATTATAATGTGGTCTGTCTCTTCCATTGTTTCCCCAGATGGCCAAAGCTGGCTTCATACACACTCCTTCAGATAACTGCCCGGACATCGCCATGTGTTTCTTCTGCCTCAAAGAGCTGGAGGGCTGGGAGCCAGACGATGACCCAGAGTACGATGATCACTTTACTAAACGTACTGCTCAGAGAAGAACCATGGATGAAATATTAGTTTAACTCATCACTATTTTGTTTTTGTTGCCAGAAAGGAGCACAAATCTCATTCGGCAGGCTGCCAGTTCATCGCCTTGAAGAAGAAAGTAGAAGAGCTGAACGTGGAGGAATTCTTCAAACTACAGAAGGAGAGGCACAAGTTCCAGATTGTACGTTTTAGATACAACTATGTTACTGCCAACGTACTTCTGCGATCTGTTTTTCTTCAATCCTTACTTTTTGTTACGCATTTTAAAAACTGCACACAATTACTTATCCAAATTTAATTTCCTTCCCTCAAAGATAAAATCCTGTAACGACGACATCACCAAGTTTGAAACGGCAGCCAAACAGAGACGAGCAGATATCATTAAGACGGCCATAGTGGAAGAGTGACACGATGACGGATGCAGAGGAATGAGAAGATTAGTTGTAGCTGGCTGACTGACTTGATTGATATCCGAGATTCCTTTATGTCTTCTTTGTAACTGTCATATTTTATGTAGTCTTTTTTTCTTAGTTTTTAATCAATAAACATGTTCTTTCTACCTTCATTTATGTATCAAGGTTCTTACGGTCATTAAAAACCTGGAAAAGTCATGGAAATTCAAAATGCTAATTCCAGGCCCTGGAAAAGTTATGGAAAACAATATTTTCCCCAAAGTTTTGGAAAAGTCATGGAAAATTAGGTAAAGGTCATTGAAAATCATTGGTGAAAAAGTGTATATGTATGTATTATCTCACTGGGGGTTATTCCTGGTTCGATATAGGTTTGACAAAAACTTGATTATGATGTTAAATACTGAAATGAGCCATCTAGGTGCGTCTGAGCATGTGTGAAACTGGCAAGAGGAAAAGCTATACACTCAATAAAAAGGTCTGGCTTTATTTTAAGTAATATTTACTGTTAAAATATGATATTATTGAATTTGATCCGTCCAGTGATGCTCGTTTAACAACTCAATATACGTTTTTACAAATACGTTTCCTTTATATTACATGATACCGCAAGCTTGGAAAGCATAGGAACATCATCAGGTTACACTACTATGATATTGTCATACTTAGACTAGGTTACTAATAAGTAAGTGTAACGGAATAGCTTTTTTAAGTAAACCTGCTGACTAATGTCTCCACATATTCCCTTATGATTGTCTTGCTTAAATGTGTGCGCCTCCTGATAAATCAAGTCCCTCCCAGAGAAGAAGAAGCTGTTGTTCATGCATCTCTCTCACTTCATCCTTCAGTCCGGGGTTAGTTCATCTCCGTCCTGCAGATCTATCCCGGACAGAACACATTTTGGATAACCTTTTATATTATGGGGATTTATTGCGCTTCGACGATTAAAAGATTGGATCACCACTGAAAGAACATCTGCGTTACGCGCTAGTTAATCCCGTAACCGTTTTACGCGTGAAGTGATCGTCGCCTGCGGGAGGATGAAGGTGACTCTCGGCTCTCTGGTGATCACAGCCGGGATCTGCGGGCTGCTGAGCTTCGCATTCCTGGCCACTTCCCTCGGAACGCAGTACTGGTACATCATAGAGATGAATCCCACGAATGTGAGTGACTTTGAGGACATGAGCTCCCACTCGGGACTGTGGAGCATCAACGAAGGTAATAACTCTCTTTTTGTTGTTGACATTAGTGCTGCTATATTGTGGAGCATGAGTGGGGGTGAAATATAATTTAATGACAACCATTTTCCGTATCTCTGTTGGACTCCAATGTATTTGTTTCAGGCTTTCTAGTGATGGAGTAAATTGGACAATATGTATATGACTGAAGTGCTTTTTTATTGTGACTACAGGTGAGAAGAACGTAGACTCCATTGACTCTTTCACAGCTGACGAGTCCAGATACTCTGAGACTGAGCTGCACATGCTGAGTGAGTCTCCTTCATCTGAATAATGTTTAATTGAAACACTAATAAGTCATTCACAGTGAGATTGAAATGAAGAATTCATGAAAAACACATGAGCAGAGATGTATGGTATGTAGGCTACTTGTACTGTACTTCTATCCAATTTGAAATCCTGTAATGTTTTCTTGAATGCAACAATATCTCTTGGTTCCAATAATCACACTATACCATGTATTACGCCAGGAATTAAAAGTATTATGTCCTAATATGTTGGCTATTCTGACACACAGTCCTTTGAACAGCTGATATATGAGCAACACAATCTAACTTTAAGGTGCATTGGATGACTTGTAGTCTTGTAGTATGTCCCAGTTGTATGCATGCAATATGTACTTAGTTAGGGCTCCTGTAGAATATATTAAAAGTTAAAGTGTGTTTCCAAAATTCTTCAAACCGCCTCCGTCTTGGATAAAACCCTGTGGTTCAAATAATCACCGATAAGGATCTTGCATTGTCCACACATGCATAACTCAACACATGCTTCATTATAAACCTGTTTGTGTGCATGTGTGTGTGTGCAGGTATGCACGGTGCCATCGTGGTGGTGCTCCCCATCAGCCTGGTGCTGCTGCTTTTCGGGGCGATCTGTGGGCTGGTCAGCTCTCTAGCCCAGAGCCCCCTCCTCCTCACCGGCACCGCCGCCTACTTCTTCATCTGCAGTGAGTCCAGCTCCAGTTTCCTCCACATTTACTCAAGGACTGTCATTACATGTATTAGTATTTTCCATGTTATGCTTCTTAATACTTCTACTCCACTACATTTTGGAAGCTAATATTGTACTTAGGACTCAACTACATTTATCTGACCGCTTTAGTTACTTCACAGATTTCGTTTTGAGCTAACACAGAATGTAAATCAACAGTGACATTAGTATAGGGTAAAACATCCAGCAGCAGAATAGTCATTCAAATTAGCTTCACATTTACAAGCATTGATGAACATAAAGCATCAATAGTCATATTCCAGTAATATAGATGACGCTGTAATGAGTCATAATGCATAACAAATGCTCTTATTTTTGTGTATTTAAATACAATAGTTTTGTACTCAAACATTAATCAGACTATGAATGCTGGACTATACTTGTAATGGAGTTTTTTTTTACAATGTAATATTTCTAATTGTACTATCTAGATCTACTTCTTCCATGACTGGCTCCCAAATCTGCAGATGTGTTTCGTGCCCCCACTGAGATATTTTGCCATCAATTCCAGATAGAGCAATTAAATTAAAAAAACGCAAGGCTTTGCACTCAAGATGAATCACAGCAACTATTACTACTATTACTACTGCCACGACATCAAAGAGCTTCAGAAGCCAGAGCAGGAAGTCCCTCATGTGAACAGTGTGGACAAAGCTCTCTCACAAATACTGCGCCTGGGATTCTCTTTTTATCTGGAAGACAGTGCTGCTTTCATATGGCCCAACTATTGAAATGACACATTGTGGAAGAGATGGTGTTAATAAAAATGACACAATATATCACATTAAGTGCAAGAAAGAGAGTCATTCTGCTTTGGATCATTTACCTCAGCGTTAAATAAAGCCGCAGCCATTATGTGCCGGTATAAAGGAGCCAATTGTTGCGACACACATTGTTAATGATCTTTGCACTCAAATGGCACTGTGCAGGGAACACGATGCCTCAGAAGTGTTTCTGTGCAACGCTCTCACACCTTTTCCACCACAGCATTTTCCTGACATACATGCAGTGTGATAATGAGACCAGTGCATGAGAAGTACTCCGAATGCAATAAGGATTTGAACAATTATCCTTATTTGGGCTTTTTCATGCCAAAAAACCTTTAAATCAAAGCATAGTTTAACTGCAATACAGTTAAATAATAGATAATGACACGTATATGTCATATTTAAGTCCCTTTGTAAGAAGAACAGAGGCAGAATACTCAGAAATCAGATTAAAGGAGCACAGGAAAGATGTATTTATGCTTGTTTTTTTAGTGAGATTAGAACTCAGTCACGATCAATGCGGTGTGTTTTATTCGGTATTTAACTCACTGTTTGGTTTTATAGAAGAACTAGAACGCTGTGCAGGGTTTGTTGGACTATATAAGGCTGGAGTTGGCATTAGAGAAGGCCATGATGGTTAATTTGTGCAGACGGGAACACGTTATGTGCACTGCTGTGTGAAACCGACCTTCTCTATTGACCTCATGAGGCCAAACGAACTGACTGAGTGTGTTATGACAATAAAGACTGATTGGCTGTTTGATTCGGCCATATTGGTTAAGTATGCATGAACGGGCAGGTGTGTGTGTGTGTGTGTGTGTGTGTGTGTGTGTGTGTGTGTGTGTGTGTGTGTGTGTGTGTGTGTGTGTGTGTGTGTGTGTGTGTGTGTAGATTCTTGTGTGTTACTGTCACTGAGCATCTGCGTCGTCGTAGTGCCATCCTGGTTGATGAGTTTCCATCTGGTAGATGTGTGTGTTGTCTAAACAGAGACCTACCTGCATCACTCTGTCCCTGTCTGAAAATGCAGCAGGATTATTGGAAACAGAAGCTGATGGGAGTGGGTGTGTGTGTGTGTGTGTGTGTGTGTGTGTGTGTGTGTGTGTGTGTGTGTGTGTGTGTGTGTGTTCGATGGTCTTAGGTCATGATTTTTCCGAATGTCGAA